TTTCAAAGGACGAAATAATTTTTTTTTACTAACATTGAACTGATGCCAGGAATTTACAACCAAAACCTTCCCCTCCAGACAAGCCAACTTACTGCGTAATGATTTAAGACAAAGGAACAGAATCAATAAGATGACAATTCAGAATTCAGAGCTATGTTAGAAAATATTTTTTTGAAGCACTAGCTGCTAGTAAAATCAAGTCTAAACATTTATAATAATAAAAAAAAACTGGCAACATGAGCACCAAGAACAGGACAAATCCAAAGCTCGGGTAGCCTTATAGGCTTGAGCCTATTTCCTGCAAGTTGGAGTTTCTCCCGAGTAACCAAGGTTGCCCTCTCAGCTTTCTCAGATTCCCTGGCAACATGATGCCGACGAAGCGTTTTAATCTGCTGTACCACTTCACTTATTTGCCTTGGATTCTTGGAACGGAATGAGACTTCTTTTAAATATATTGCTCCTTGATTCTTTAAGAGATTGGATCATGGGAACTAAAAGGAGACCCTGGAACATTAAATATAATCCTGATAAAGCAATTTCGATTTGTATCCTGCTGTCTTGAAACTGTCCTTATAGTCGCCACATGGAAAGGAACCATACTACCATATATTGGAAAGAGCACAGCCTTATTCTTTTGGTCATTTTGAATCAAAAAAATCTCTTGGAGGGAGGAGGTTCCTTCTCAACAACTGAGAGTGATGCTTGATATGCGGCACTGATTCTGTTCCCAGGTTTTAACATACCTATTGCAGCTTCATGGGCCTTAAGAAGAACCTCATATGCCTTGCTCTGAAGTGGAGTGACATCAATCAAGAATGTCCTGGCAATATTTGAGCAATAACTGTTACAGAGAGCTCCAACTGCACTCAAGATAACACTAGTAGAACCGTTGTGCAGATTCTCTTCATTACTTGCCGCACTAGGTCTGAGATCAAACTCACCCCCACTTTGGAATATGAGAGGATAACAACATCAACATTCCCTGGCTTGAGCTTCACTTTAGCTAGCTGAGGATTTACAATCTTTGTTTCTTCTAAACCATAACCCTAGTTTCACTCTGAGGCCGCTGCTGGGCCAAAAGAAGCCAAGTTCGCTTTTATAAATTTGAGATTTCTTCGTCTCGAGGTTGAAGCTTAGTGCTAGCAGAGTTGGAATTATGAGTTTTTCTCATTCCGTTCCTTTGCTTTTTAGCATTTTATCAAGTATTTCCCACCTATTGAATCTCTAACTTGCTGGAGTTTGAGTTTCATTTGATTACAGATATTTTCCTTTGGTTTTTAGACGTAAAACTGAGTTTTATTTGTTCTCTAGTATTAACTTGTGAGACTTAGGCTCAAGCGAAATAAAATGCGGGATTTGAATCTAAATTTGTTCAATGATTATTCATGAAGGGCGAGAAATTTCGGTATATTTAATTTGTGAAGTTCTGAAGTGTTTTTTTAGGTTCCTGAAAGGCTAATCGAGTCCTCTTTTTTAGTGTTTTTACAGTTTCTGTTGTACTCTTAGTAATCTCCTTCTTTTTAGAATTATTTTTTTTTGTATTTGCGCATTTTTATTGGTAATTACTATGCAGTATAGCTTCTCAATGACTGAACATAGGAATACAAATGGCCAGCCTCCAAACGGGGCAGCTTCTGCTTCAGGAAGTATTTATTCTATTAATCTGGAAAACTTCAGCAAACTTTTGAAGACTTTGTATTCACACTGGAATGAGCACAAATCTGAGCTGTGGGGTTCTTCTGATGTCATTGCGGCCCCAGAAGTCGGAGCAAACAGAGTCCAAAGTTCGAGGCTTAGAAAACAGGAAGTATTGTGAAAAGCAAGAGAAACAAAGATTGAGAAGCAAAGAAGAAAAAGAGATAATAAATATGAAGGAAATATTAGTGGAGATTGGAAAGGGAGTATTTAAGAAAATCACAGAATACGGGCAAGGAAAAAGAGAGGGAAAATCGAAGGTGAAAGCGAGGGAGTTTTTATTATTTGTAAAATACATCTTTCTCACTTAACTATACTTTTTATTCTATTTTACTCAATGTATTTTCAATTTTTCTAATTTACTCATTAAATTTTTAAATTATTCATGTTTTGATCAATTTAAATTATTTTATTATTTTTTGTATGATGTGGTTTTTATATTATCATTTAATATAAAATAATTGAAAATATAAAATAAAAATATAAGGTGGTCGGACGTCACCATCGTAGATGATGGTTGTTTGATTCCAAATTTCATAAGTCGTTTGTCTCGACCCCAAGTCTGAATCTAATGGTTATTTCACCAGAAAAGTTCTCAAAACCCATGAATATCAACGGAAACGTTTCAGCTTCCTCATTTTTGATCTTCAATTCGTGGACTTCAGAGTAAGGTCCAATAAATTGGAGGACGGATTCAAACTCAAGGTGTCGTGACGAAGTGATATATGAAATTTAGGATCAAATGGTCACCATTTACGGCGGTCGAAGGTAGTCGATGATAGCGTCCGATCACCTTCTGTTTTTATTTTATGTTAAATAATAATAAAAATATCACATCATATAAAAATGATAATAAAATAATTCAGAGTGATCAAAATATGATTAATTTAAAAGTTTAGTGAGTAAATTAGAAAAATTAAAAGTATAATAAATAAAATAGAAGAGAGAGTATAATATAATGAAAAATTATGTAATTTACTCTAGATTTTATTAAGAACAGTCTAGAACTCTACACTAGAGACCAACGGCTTAAGGAGCTATACCATGGTGATACGGCATCGTATGAATACAATGTATGAGATAAATATGGTCCTAAATATTCCAATAAAGAGAAGGGGTGTGTTGGGCTGCCTACCTAACTGGACCCTTTACATTTTTTGGGTTGAACCGTTCATATAACAGTGGCACATGCAAAACCCAGCCTCGCGAATAAGAATTGAGAGTAAAATGTTGATAGAGGGCTGCGAATTATAATTGAAAGTATTTGAGGTGTATAAAAAATAATTGATTTGACCCGTCGACCCAAACCTAAAAAATTAAATAATTTTTTTTAAAAAAATTACCCGATTGGGTCGGGTCAGGTCACAAAATTAAATTTTTCTGGGTATCCGGTTACCAGAGTACCCGGTTAGGGAAGTTTTTTAGGATAAACTACATATTTGGTCACTTATATATTATTTAATTTATGTTTTAGTCACTCAATTTTTATTTAGGGTAAACTACCTATTTAGTCACTTATATATTATATAATTTATGTTTTGGTCACTTGATTATTATTTAGGGTAAACTACCTATTTGGTCACTTATATATTATCTAATTTATGTTTAGGTCACTCGATTATTATTTAGGTTAAACTACCTATTTGGTCACTTAGTTATTATTTTTTTTCAAAAGTATACATAATGTTATGTTTTGATTCTATTTTGGTCACCCATATTTAAAAATGGACAATGATGTTAATATGACATTTTTTAATTATGTTTGGATGTTAGACTATGTAATTCGAAGTTTCGAACATTTAAATTTGTGTGTGTTTTAATTAATAATTTGAAGAAAAAAAACCAGGTATCCGTGCACATGCAAAATCTCGATCAATGCACAGGCCGAGAAACCAATTACCTAATGATGTTTTGGTCACTCGATTATTATTTAGGATAAACTACCTATTTGATCACTTATATATTATTTAATTTATGTTTTGGCGAGAAACCAATTACCTAAAGATATGAGAGTTGAGCACTTCGAGTACCCAAAATTGCACATCCCTAGAAATGATATAGTAATCCCGGCGGGGCTCGAACCCGCGACCTTCGGCTCATAAGACCAACTCTCTAACCAACTGAGCTACGGGATCTTTTTGTTTTACGTGTTTAAACTATTAAACCTGATGAAGTGTTTCTGTTATTATGCACTCTTTTACAACAACCGAGTTACTAAATGGTGATTTATCATAATTTTCAATACTATATGTGTTTCGGGGTGTTGATCGTCTGTATTCTTGCAATGGAACTCATCAAGATTGGATCCTGAATTTTCTAGTCAAGTGACGAAAAGGTTGCCCCAACCTTGGTTCCAGTTGCGACTCTATAGGTCATATAAAATGTAGTATAAAGCTTTGAAGACCCCACCGTGGCTTGTTAACATCTGATCGAACTCTTCTATGCCCTTGTGCCAGCCACAGCAAAATGGTCAAGTAGCAGATCATGGTCCTTATGTAGAGAGCCGCACCCAAATTGTGAAATCTCCCACAAAAGACGCCCCGCAAGCATAAGATGAAGTCCCTATATATAATATATGTATGTGTATATATATATATATAATGAAAGATTCTAATGAACCAGCTCATGGTCATATTTTGTAATAGAGAAGATTCATCAGGAGTAGTTAATTGAGTAGGAAATACAATAACACAGGAAAAATGTCTGTATACTAAGGAACAAATACAGAGTGGCAAGTCCAAGATTTGAAAGCTAAGTAGACCTATTATGTCTTGTTAATTAAGGACTAAGGACATCATAAATACAACAGCAACACCATAAAATCCACCTTAAATGCTCCAAGGATCTATGGTGAGAGTAATGGTGATTTGTATAACAATAGGACTCAATTGGTCAAAAGCCGGTTATCCCCCAAGAAATAGCATCCTTCGGTATCGTATCAAGTGATAGGCAAATATTTCTAACCTGGACTGCCTGAGCTCCCTTTGATCATGAATTGCCCCAAGAGCTAGCTCCCTTTGTTAAAAAAAATGGAAACATTCATTTATCTTGATGGATTCAGATTTTAATTATGATTATATAAGAGTGGTGCTGGTGGTTGATAACGGTTCAAACGAAGGTGTCGAGAGTTGTTTAAGAGTATTTCTACGTGTTCGGAGAAGAACATACAACTTTGGTAGAATTTTATGGGGTGTCTTGGCCTTCTTTGGCCATACATTTGGATCCATGGATTCTGGTTTTAGTTCGGATCAGTTTCTTAATTAATGAAAGGTTGATTAAATTAGAGCATCTTCAAGACTAGAAACTACAACAAGCAATGGAATGGTGAGAACTCAAACAAAGAGTAGACAACGAAACCCAGTTCAGTACAAAGGGAACACAATTCGTTTATGCACATAATTTTCATCCTTGTGGGACAGACATATTCACCTTCTCTCAAAGTTCAAACGTGCAAGAAAATATGGGAAAAGGGTTGCAAAAATTAGGGGATACGAAATCAGAAAGACAGCTGTAATGTGTAAGCGGTCATGGCGAAACCCGAAATAGTTTTCAAGCAAAGAGGCCACTGACATGGCTTCACCGAATACCATAATCTCATCGTTTACATCTCCATAGTGTGAAGTGAGCAAACAATTCAATGTCCAAGATGTAGGCATTAGATAATACAACCAGAGCCACCACTTTGGGATTTTCTGCAGATAAAGAATAACATAACCAGCTAAGTGAATACTACACCACAATTATACTAGGTATAATTCAACATATTCACTTTTCATCATACCAAATTCTTTCTAATAGTAATAGCTTACCGGTTTAGGCATCAGAAAGCCGGAGAAAAGATTAAGCAACGGATAGAATAACGATGATAAAGCTCCAGCTATTGTGACTTCCGGTGTCAATGACACAAACAACATTCCAAAGAAGGTGAAGTAGAGCTGTGTGCAGAAGATGGCATAGAAGTACCACAAAACCTTATATGCTGATCCATAATAGTCAATCATGGGATATGTGATCATTCCAAACAACAGAGTTTGGATAAATAGATAGGGTACCTCAACTGCCACCTGTAGAATATTTACACCCTCCTTATTTACTATAAGCTTTATCGAGAACCCAGAAAACTAGCAACTTAGCTCAAAGAAAGAAAATAAAAAAGTTCATTTTAACTTATGATGCGTAAGAGAACGTACCTATGCTAGTGCATAAGCCCAAGAAGAGTACATCCCTGCAAATCTTTCTCGGTACATAACAACCCTCTCTGTGGCAACAAATGGTTGGACAGATGAGCTGCTATTCATCCCCAGAAAGACCACAGCAAAGTAAATTGAACCGAAAATATTGAACAAATCTTGCAGTCTGTTTCTGGAAATTTAAAGAAGAAAAGAAGATAGAAAGATGATGTTAATTATCAACAAGCCTACTGCAAAGGGAAAGTAATGCCAGTTTTCCCCATTCTTACATTTTCTGTCCTTGATTCTAAAATAATAAGCCCAAAGCCAAAGATATTATGACAGTCTGCAAGAAACGAGTCAAGTTATACGGACTTCTCCAATAGGACAGATGCAGTTTCCATAGGCAAGATTTAAATTGGCCCCAGCAACATTGTGAAAAATGGGTTGGAAAATGAAGATCTTTTGAACCAGGAGGTGGATCACTCAACTGTCTTAAAATCTCCTTGTTGTTCCTACCACCAAAAGGAAATAATAAGTGAATCAGGCAGTTTGTAAGGATAATTATTTAACTCTACAGACACTCAGGGCATCATCATTCTAAGATGCATTTGTCAGTTGTCACACTAATTTCGATACTTACGCACTGGTATTAAATATAATATAATGGATATTGTGTAATTAAGTACTCTATTTGATACTTTATGCACAAAGTACATGCTTCAGTTTAAGTCATACAACATAAGAGGTGGTTTAAACAATTTGACATGGCCCTTTCATATCTTTTCGGATTCAACCAGTTTAAGTGATTGGTGAGAGTTAGAGTACCGCATTTGAGGAACTAATGAATCATTCAGCTTTGTATAAATCAGAACTAATTACTACTGAGTAATGGAACTCACTCATATAAAGCAGATTTCATGTAAATTTCTGCAAAATCAGCTCCTAGTTCAGCCTCCATAGATGGGGCGGTTGCCTCTAGCATCCATGTTGCTGGATTACAATTGTCTTCAATCTTGGGCACTCCAGGAATACTCTGTCAGTAAGAATTCAGAGAGCATAAGATCAAGGTCGATCAAGAGTAATGGAGTTACCGGAGAATGGAAAGAATATGGGGGTAATTGAACACTTGAACCAACCTCAAAATACTCTATAACTTTGCAGGAATGTTGACCTAAGGGGCCAGAGTAGATTAAGCTCCCACCATTTTTCAGAAGAATCAACTGCAATGAAGGCAACATATACATACAAACATCTACAGAGAAAATTCCTTACTTTATGATAGATGACATTAACATAACTGGTTTTACCTCATCAAATGCTTCAAATCAAGGCTTGGTTGGTGGATTGTACAAATAATTGTTCGACCTGTATCAGCAACATTCTTGACTGCACGCATGACAATGGCTGCTGTTCTTGCATCCAAGCCAGTTCTTGGTTCATCCATGAAAATTACCGAGGGATTAGCAACAAGCTCTACCGCTTTTGTAAGCCGCTTACGTTGTGCGGTTGATAAACCAGAAAGACAAGGTATCCCAACCAAGGCATCCTTGACTTCTTTGAGTTCCATAATCTCAAGAACTTCTTTAACAAACTCCTAAAATGCCATCAAAATCAACTTCACTCAAACTTTGTTGATTTGAAAATATCCGCTTTTATATTTGATAGTCTTACAGCTCTAGCTTTAGAATCAATATGAGAAGCCATCAAGTAGTGCCTCTAGAAACAAAATTTCTAGAAGCTGCAGGAGTTGGCTTTGTAACTGAAGAAGATGCTTTAGCTGGAGAAGCATATATGTTAGGAGTACTTGATGGTGTTGATGGCCGACGAGTTGGTGTAGTAGCTCTTGATGCAGGTTTGGATGAAGGTATAGGTCTTGCAGTTGGCTTCGAAGACCTCATTGTGGACCTTGTTGGTGTGGAGGATCTTGCAGAAACTGTGAGCTTAGTAGCAGGAGACGGACTCTTGACTGCAGAAACAGTGGGCTTAGTTGACGAAGTTAAAGGTTTTGTTACAAGCTTTGCTGCAGATGTCACAGGATTAGATGCAGAAATTGATGGTGACTGTAATGTGGCCCGGGACGTTGGTGTTGATGATCTCGTAGGTTTAGATGCAGTCAATGTAGGGCGTCGGGTGGGTGTTGCAGGTCTTGAACCTGGACCCCCAGATGATGAAGGCCTCCGAGTCCCTGTGGAACTCAATCCAGGTGATAAAGCTGGTTGATTCAGTGCTAAGTTGCCCCTGGCATCAGATTCGGGCTGGGGATTTGCTAGCTATAAACACAATGAACAAAAAAGCAAAGCCAATAAGTTCATGAATCCAAAGATCAGAACACCAAAAGCGTTAGCGAAATGAGTATTATTCTCTTTAAAGATATTAAATTCGAATAGCTACGTAGTAAGATGTGTATAAGTTGTTAATTTTTAAGAAAAAATTTAAATATATACTATTTTATAATTATTTTAAATTATTAAAAAAATATGCCTAATGACAAAATAGATAATATCAAAATTACCCTCCAACATTTACTAAATTAGTCATTTTTATATCTATTCTTTTTTAGCATTTTAGTCATCAACATTTTGTGTTAGAGCAAAAATTTATCTAATATTTGACAGAGTAATCACTTTAGTCCTTATTCTTTACTTTAGAACAATTTGATCCTAAACATTTTATTTTAGGATAAAAATGCTCTTATCTTAGAATGTTAATTGCGTTAACTAATAATTTTCATTCATATAGGGTTTTTTGCCCCCAAAATGAAATGTTGAGGGTCAAAATGTTTAAAAAGGATAAAATACAAAATGATAATTTTAATAAATATTGAGGGATTAATTTTGAAATTATGTCATGACAAAATTACCTCCAACGTTTGCATAAATGATCATTTTGTCTCCATTTTTTTAGTATTTTATTTCTAATGTTGTATTTTTTATCAAAACATTTCGTTAAACGAAATTACTAACTGATTATGGCTAACAATGTTGTTGATATGATATTTTTATATGTATTTAGTTGTTGATATGATACATATCTTATTATTATTTTAGTGATATGATATATATCGTGTCATCACTTTAAATGATGTGTCACATATCACATCATTATTTTGATAACATGATACATATCACATTATCACTTTAAATAATGTTGTATATGTTATATATTCGCTTCGAATGACGTAACCGTATGTATTCAATTAATAATTTTTATCTAACATGATTTATTTTAACTAAAATTTAAAATGTTTAATTAAAATATTTCAAAAGAAATAATATAAAATAAAATGACTATTTGTACAAATATTAATAAATAAATTTAAATCCATTTATATACCATCATAGCCATCATAGCTGTAATTTATCATTATATCTAATAAAATGTATTTATATGATTTATTTTATTAAATCCATTGATTTCCTGAAAAGAGCTGATCCAGCTATTACCAGAAAGATGGGTGACAAATTATGAGCAGATTCATGAGAAGAATCAACCAATCAGATCCACCAATAACCAGATCCTTTCCAGAGAAGGTGGAGCTACAGAGATCAGATTCGACCACAGTCATTTAAAAGGTTCAGCAACACCATCAGTTTTCCCCACACAACTGATGATGTTACCTACAGGAGATCCCAGAGAGGCTCATGACAAAGACGATCCAGATTGCTACTGTGATTTATGTAAGCCCAGCTTTGAAAGCCAATATGTCGAGAAATTTGATCCAGCAGGAATGCCTATTTACATGCAGCGAGATCTAGTCACTGGTCATAGCCCATTTGATATGGATTGTTCTTGCAAATCCTGTAGGCAAGCATATCTAGCATCATGGCTAGATGGAAACTCTCACTCATCCTATAATCCTCACAAGAATATGAACAAAAAGAAGAAATCTTCTCACTCCGACCTGTACCAAAGGTATATGCAAGGAGATCCCTCTGTTGGACCCTTGGGAGAAGACAATGGAAAGTATCAATTCCTTGTTGATTATTCTTCCAAAATCCCTCCTATAAAAAATCAGAACCAAACCTTTCAACCATCTCCTCACCCAAAACCACCACCAAATTCAGGAATCCTTGTTCAACCATGTTACAAAAAGATTCAGAAATGGATCAAAAAGAATCCTGAACCACACCCTCAACCAATTGCTGCTGTCTGTATGTTTCAACCTTATGATCCTACTTATGATACAGAATTTCCTCCTTTGGAGGAATTCACCAAAACAAACTACAGACATACCCCAAAAATCCCAAATCCACTTACTGGTGAAAATATCAGTGATGCAAAAGCAACCCTTAATTGGCAAAGTGAAAATACTTTAGCACAAAATTCAACCTTAAAGAAAATTGACTCAAAGATTTCGCAGATGGATTCCAAACTTTCTCAAATGGAGTCTAAGGTGGATGCCAATACCAAAATTGCCAATGAACTGATTGTTCTACTTCATAGAAGATTACAACAAGTCGAAAGGCAAACAACTTCTCCAGGGCAAGATTTATTTCTCCACTTTGAACAAAAGGAGAAAGAAATCCAAAAGCTGAAAGAACAGATCAGAATCCTTGAAGAAACAGGACAAGTTCCTCAACCACAAAAAGAAGATGAACTTTTCTCTTTGTTTGGAAGAACAGGGCCGGAACCACAATCTTTCTCTATATTCCCATCAACCAAAGGTCATACAACACCTTCACAGGGATTATTTTTTCCCTCTCTCAGTGCTGAGAAGAAAAAGCCAATAACTTATGAACTCTACCAGCAAATCAAAAGACAAGAAGCTGAGAAGAAAAGAGAAAGAGATAAAGGGAAGAAAAAAGAAGAAGATGATGATCCTTCCCCAAAATTCTCAAGAGCCTTGATGATCCAACAAGAACAGCAGAATCCTTTGACTTCTTTTCTAAAGGAGTATCAAGAAGCTGTTGTCCCAAAGATAGCTGCTGTCAGCCATCAAGAAGCAACATCTGAAGAAGTTTCTGATACTAAAAGTCCAGAAAGTTCATATGCCTCTTCGGATGATCTCATTATGGCCACTATAAATCAACCTGAAGAAAAATCAGATGTCTTTGAATCAGAAAGTCCAATGGATGCAGAAACCTCTACAGCAAGCTAACCGTCTACGGTAGGTGGAGGAAGATATGTGTTCACACTTGATGATATTCCTTGTAACATCCCAAACTACGGGTTAGTGACTAAATCGTAAATTTCAGAATTTGATAATAAAAGTAGAATACTTGAATAGTTCAATGATTTATTTGAGGATATTTCCTGAAAGTTGTTAGTAATTATCTAAAGAATTAAAGGGCAAAAGGGTAATTTGTCATGAAAGATATTTTTATCCCTTTATTAAGAGATAAAAACATGAGAAGATGAAAGCATTTCATCTTCTTATTCCTTTCTCTTCCCCTCCCGTAAGAGCAAGGGCAAAGGTAAGTTTCTTCATTAGTTGATTATTTGTTCAATTCAAGGTTGGGTTTTGATTATTAGATGATAATTAAGCTTAAGGAAAGCTTAATTTGTTCTAAAACAACAAGATGAAAGGTATATGAGAGATTAAAGATTTTGAGTTCTTGAATCAAATCTTGAAATAGAATTGATAAGTTGAATTTTAAGTTGAATTTGACTTGTCATCTATGAGATTAAGAAGTTAGAAGTGTTAGAATTATGTTTGAATAACATGAAAAATTTGATATGATTATTGAATTCTATATGGAGAATAGAATTCTAAGGTTTAAGATGAAATAAATGAATATAGATTGGTTTAAGTATGTGTACTAGAGTTAAGAATGAAAAGGGGATGATATATGAAGTGTTTGAGAGAAATTGAAGTGATTTTCGAGCTAAAAATATGATTTCTGGGCAAGGGGAATCTGTACCCATTCAAGGGGAACCGATACCCCTTCAAACGACAGAATTCCAGAATGCCAGAGGGTAACCGATACCCCCACAGGAGGGAATCGATTCCCCCCTAAAGGAAAATGTTAATATTGGTTTAATAAGTTCGTTTAAGTTGCTAGTATACAATTAAAAGGTGTGGGTATCTAATAATTGTCTTAAAATGTATAATTATGTAGATTCAAAGCCTAAACGAGTTCCGGAATCATTGACAAGTAAGATCGATAAAAAGGGAAGATAAGAGATTGAAAGGGACTAGTGAGGCCAGGTGAGTGCAATTTAAATTGTACTTATGTGATTGATCAAACATTGGCTTGCGATGAGTCAATGATAGAGTTACTATGGTAAGAGGTAAATTATATAATGTTATGTGATTACTCTGTGTGCATTAGTACATAGAAATGGATGTATGTTTATATGTTACATGATTTACATGCTTACATGAAAATGCAACATATGATATTAGATATGTGCTTACACATACATTTGATATGTGATAGAAGAGAAGGAACATGTGATTATGATATCAAGGATTACACGTACATGTGATACGTGGCTGAAAAGAAAAGATATGTGTTTATAAGATAAAGAATATGAATAAGTAATGTGAACGGTCATAAATGATAATGCCCATGTTATGTGATATGAGAGCTAGGGGTATAGTTGGCATGCCAAGGGTCGAGGGTTACCTATGTTCTTCGGGACATATGGACTGTTTACCTATGTTCTTCGGGACATATGGACTGTTTACCTATGTTCTTCGGGACATATGGACTGTTTACCTATGTTCTTCGGGACATATGGACTGTTTACCTAGGTTCTTCGGAATCTATGGACTGGTCCTTCGGGACATTGATCGAGCTGTGGTGACAGCATATGTGTGCACAACCTCAATGTACTCACATACCTTAAGTTCTCACTAGTGTACATGGGCTAATAAAGTGATTAAACAAGCATACTGAATGTGATATGTATACGATGGGTTTATAAGTGGTTTGAAATGTGTTACGT